GACTAGCGCCTTTTAGAACCACGCGTGAACAATAACTAGTAGGTTAATTGCACAATTACCTTATGTAATTGTACGCGTGAACAATAACTATTAGGTGCACGCGTGAACAGTAACTAGTAGGTTGACTTTGACTTGACTTCACGCGGGAACAATGATATGCCCAGCCCTAGTTTGACTTTGACTTGACTTCACGGTTTTTAAGAAAATAGAATTTTTTATTTTGACTTTCCTATCATGCCCCTGAATAAAGTAGGTAAAATGTAGTGAGAGAGAAAATGAATGTAAATTGTAAAGTAGGTAATAAAATAAAGGTATAAGGGTAACTTTATATTGAAAAGTTGTCAAAAATAGAAGCGTAAAATTTATTTTGAATCTACCTAAAAAGGAACGTATGAAATTGTTTTGGGACCGGAGTAAGTTCGAAGTAATAATGCCATATTGATATTGTAGTTACAAAATTGTACATCACATAATTCCACCAACGTAACAAATTAAACTACAATATTGTTCTCCTAGGATGAATAACTATCGGAGTACATGGAGACCTATTCCATGCCTAATTCCCTCAACGTATCAATGTATGTATTTATATAGACCCTGGGTGTACACAAAAAATGTTTGTGCACATATATTTTTGTCTGTGCCAAATATGTTTACATATAAATTTTGTTAACACAATTAATTTTCCTTCACACCGACGAATTTTGTGGAAAAGTGTTTGTATCTATATTTAGTACTCCCTCTGTCCTTTAAAACTTTGTCAACTTTCCTTTTTTGGATGTCCCACTAACTTTGTCACTTTCTCTTTTAAGTAAAAAATTTGTGGTACCTGTTAATTCTCTCTCCTCTGCACAAACCTCTACCACACAGTTTTTACTTTATTAATCCCCGTGCCGGTCAAACTTGGCAAAGTTTTAAGGGACGGAGGTAGTATCAATCTACGTACTTTTTTCGTTGACTTTTGTGTGTTTTAATATGGGAAAGTTCCCCAAATAGGACTAAAAAAGTTTGAAAATTCCAAAATAGGACTGTCATGTTTTTATTCTCAAAATAGGACTAATTACTATCAAATTTGGAAAATACTGCCATGTTTGAAGTCTGGTACTGCCAAAACATGACAGTAATTAGTCCTATTTTGGGAATAAAAACATGGAAGTCCTATTTTGGAATTTTCAAACTTTTTTAGTCCTATTTCGGGCAATATCTCTTTTAATATTCGTCTATATATATACGTCTCCCAACTCAGAAGTACGATTGCTGACTACTTTTATCGTTGACTTTCTTTGGGTTTTAATATTCGTCTATCTAGTGTGTGGAATCCAGTATGTTGCTTCGACATGAATGTCTTGTTGCATCAGCAAGCTAATCTACAATTCAACATAATAATATACGAGTAATATTATTAAGATATAAGTATATAACACATTCAAAAAGTGCTCAAATTTACAAGACTCATACTGTACCATATCTTCATAGGCATGGCAGATTTCTACTTCATCCTAACTAATTTTTACACTAGCTTTTCTATTTAATAAGCAAACTTATACGGAATATCAACTTACACTACTACCTTTAAATGATAATGACAATATAATCTAGAGTAAAATTGACACTTGAGGATGTTTTCTTTTGGACTGAAATTTGCTGGTCTGGTTTGATCTGGTCTGGTCTGTTTAAGTCTAGTCTGGTCTGGTAAACGTCTGGTCTCTGTGTATTTTATAATTGTCCAAGTCTGGTCTGGTCTGGTCTGGTGTGGTCTGGTCTGGTCTGGTCTGGTCTGATCTGTTTGAGTCTGATCTGGTCTGATCTGGTCTGGTCTGGGACTGAAAACAGTCCAAAAGAAAACATCATGAGTAAAAGCGGCATTTCAGAAAGTCAAAGGAAAAATATTTATTTCCATAATATGTTTATAATTCATAACAGGATAATCTTTATGTAGGGACAGAGAGATTACTATGCGTCTATGCCACAACTAAAATCAAACATAATGAAATAGTGAATAAGTGATATGTTTAATCATATTTTACTCCTATACGTGAGGTAATTAAAAGAGTAAACCGCATGTGTTTTGATTTAACACGAATACAATATTCCATTTTCCAATTTTCCATAATGATAAGAGTAAGAAAATGTAAGCATAAAAACACCATATTTATGCAATTTAAATTTTATATCACAAAACTTTTGGATCCCAGTGAATAGAGTCATATTAAATTGATATTGTCATGTTACCTTTCGGATTATCACTAGCAGAATATTGTCATACTAGACATACTTTGGCATATATAAATATAAAGTTGTGAAATCTATATTAAAAGAATTGGCAGTAATTTGAAACTGGTCCCCGTATTTTGAGAGCTTACTATCTAAAAACGATCGTAATAATAATGCCATCTTGATATTGTGGTGTCCAAATTGGACAACACATAATAGTATAATACCGTCAACTTAACAAACTACAATATTGTTCTCCTATGATGAATAACTAACGGAGTACGTACAAGGAGACTAATTTAATTCCATGCCCGATTTCCTCAACGGCACACTTTGCATCTTCTACCTCATAGCGTTTTAATATCAATTAATATGGGAGAGAAGTTGTAGCCCTAGAAATTAGGGCGTGCAAAAAGTTTTACTTGCGGTGGGGTGGGGAAAGCTGAACTCTAATGAGATTGCCAACTTATGTAGTATCCAATATTTGATTTGATCATATAATATACGTAGTACTTTGTATTGAAGAATGGATACATATCAACTTGAAATTCAACCGTGCAACATTGATTTCAATATCCATACTCGAGATAGATCGGAGTTGTACTATTAAAATAGTACTTGAGTTCAAAATAGTATGCAAAACAATAATTTTGGGAAATAATGGCTTACCCTATTGGGTGCCTTGAGGGTGTATTTATACTAAAATCAAGTTTAGGAAATTACAACGTAATCCTTGTATAACTACATTATTAAATAGTACTACGTGTATTATTTCTTTAAGATTGAGTTTTCAACCATTCTCACTGGAGTCATAAAATAATGTACGTTTTTTTACATAATTCGTAAACTACATGTAGAGCATGTTTGGTAGCACTGAAATTGATTGAATCGACTGATTCTGTTTAAATTTATAAAGTTCTGGCTGAACTAGTTGTATTGGTTGATTCTACTGATTTGTGAAAAAAATATTTAAAATATATTTTATTAATTAATTAGAGAAAAAATATATGAAAAAATAGCTAAAATAGTTCTCTACAGTAACTTCAGCCAATACAGTCAGAAAAGTAACTTCAAACTTACTTTTTTATTATTATTACACACTTTAGCGCATGAAATCAAAAGTTACGTGATTGGTGAAAAATTTGATTGATAAGCATGATAAAAAAATAGTGTGCCAAACGGGTTGTACTATTAAAATAGTACTTGAGTTCAAAATACGAAGTAGTATGCAAAACAATAATTTTGGGAAATAATGGCTTACCCTATTGGGTGCCTTGAGGGTGTATTTATACTAAAATCAAGTTTAGGAAATTACAACGTAATCCTTGTATAACTACATTATTAAATAGTACTACGTGTATTATTTCTTTAAGATTGAGTTTTCAACCATTCTCACTGGAGTCATAAAATAATGTACGTTTTTTTACATAATTCGTAAACTACATGTAGAGCATGTTTGGTAGCACTGAAATTGATTGAATCGACTGATTCTGTTTAAATTTATAAAGTTCTGGCTGAACTAGTTGTATTGGTTGATTCTACTGATTTGTGAAAAAAATATTTAAAATATATTTTATTAATTAATTAGAGAAAAAATATATGAAAAAATAGCTAAAATAGTTCTCTACAGTAACTTCAGCCAATACAGTCAGAAAAGTAACTTCAAACTTACTTTTTTTTTATTATTACACACTTTAGCGCATGAAATCAAAAGTTACGTGATTGGTGAAAAATTTGATTGATAAGCATGATAAAAAAATAGTGTGCCAAACGGGTGCACCAAAAGGTCTCGTAATTATAAAACGGATTACGTAACTATTCTGAAACATTGGCGACTGTTGGAAAGGTCACCGTCGCAAACTTATGGGTGTGGGTTTTCTATTTTTCTCTGATGTGAAGCCGCCAAAGGAAGACAAAATCACAAAAGAGCAGTAGTACAAATTGAAATTGTTCCACATATTGGCCTTGTTTGGCAATTAGTCGTTGGCGGTTAGCTGTTAGCTGGTTATGACAGCTAGTTGACAATAGTTGGTTGTATCAGCTATTTTAATTGGCTGGTTATGTTAGCTTTTTGTCTACAAATGTTTGGTAAATTAGTTGTTTGAGAATACATGTTCGCATGTAAAAAGACATATAAGGACATAAGTATTTTATTTATTTTTAGCTATTGCATATAAAAATAATATTACCAACATTTACTTAAAGTAGGTATAAATCATTTTACTTCAATTAAAAAAGTTAAGAGACTAAATTTAATTAAATAGCAAACAATTAAAATTAATAAATATGCACACAGTTTTGCCAAAAAAAAGTATGTGCATTATTGATACTCCATATTAAAAACAAATGTAGAGTAAATCAGGATTTCATCAGTTTCTCCTACTCTGTTTTCTTCTTTTGCTTCTTCCTTGTTTATCATTTGATTTGCGATGGATCAAAATCTCATAACCAAATCCGGATTTCATCAGCTCGGGATCTCGTGTAGCAGCCCATTCTTTTCCAATTTCTCATTTGTTTCATTAAATTGGGTGTAACAGCAAATAAAGGATTCGAGAGCTTTGTTGGAAATTTGTACAGGGACGCTGCTAAGAGGAAACAATGACAATGGACATTCACCTCAGAAGGGTATGGATGGGTTTTCAAGGACCAGCCGAATCCAAACGCTGCCCCCTCAAGCGTTTTGGTTTTCAGCTTTTTGAGTCCCAACAACCAAGCTGAGCATGTGATTACCATTTACCAAACAATTATATTGGCTCCTTTGATCTCAATAGCCAAAAAATGGCTGACCGTTTTCCAAACATATTTGGTTAAAATTGGAATATGCTCTATTGTTTTAAGAGTTCGTAACATATTGTTCTAGAATTGTAATTTTTGACACGAATTACATTTTACATGATTTAATCTTTTTTAATCATCTAGGCGTGAATGATACAGATATTGCGGTAGGAACTTGAACTTGGGCCGACCAATATTCCGATTCCAAAAAGAGTTGCGATATTTTCCCTGACACGCGGCGCATATCGGGCCGCTCTTCTGGGTCCACGTGTATGCAATCTAGCGCCAGCCTGATAAGCTTTGCCGCCACTTCCACCGGGAACGAGTCCTTCAGCCTCCCATCCACCCACCGTCTCAGCCCCCTTTCCATCTCCTCCACGCCACCGCCGCCGCCAATCGCATCTCTAGCCGTCTCCACTACAGAAACTTTCGTGTACTCTCCACTCGACTTATCGTATCTGAACTTAACCGGCTCCTCGCCGGAGAAAAGTTCCAGAAGCACAACTCCGAATGCGTATACGTCGGATTTCGGCGTCGCGATGCCAGAGCGCTGAAAATCAGGCGACATATAACCGCTTACTCCTTCGAATTGCCGGTTCCGCTTCTCAGATCTCAATTCTGTCGACCGGAGTTCCTCTGTACTTCCGCCGCTGCCGAGGGACGGGATCTCGGTCTCGCCGCAGAGCTCCGCCGCTCCAAAATGACAGATCTTAGCGTTGAATGACGGCTCGGTGATAACAATCCCGCTGCTCTTCACATGCTTGTGAGCCGAATTCGAACCCTGTCCAGTCATATTGTGTATATAATCTAATCCGTGAGCTACGTCTGTAGCGATTTGCATTCTGGACAACCAAGTGGAAAGCACGGTGTAGCTAGGGTTTCTAGGGTTTCGAAGACACAGGGCGAGGTTGGATCCAGGAACAAATTCGTAAACAAGGTAAATCTGATTGCCTGAGATTGACGCGCCTAGGAGCTTGATTATACTCCGGTTATGGCTCCGGCAAATGATCGATAACTTCGCTTTGAGTCCCGATTTCTCCATGGATCTTCGAACTATTCGCTGGAATATGATGACTTCTTTTCCGTGCAGGACGCACCGCCATGATTGGGAAGAGGAGGTGGAGGAGAAGCGCTTCGAGAGGAAATTGTTTGTTGCAGCTCGAATTTCAGAAAATTCGTAAACCTGTGATCTCTCCGGTAGCGATTGCCGGAGGTTGGACAACGAGCTGGATACGGCGGCTGTGGCGACAGAAGTATCAAGCCGGAAGCTGGGGGAATTGGTGGCTGCGGAGTTATATTCGGCGGAGGTGTTAACGCTGATTGGCGGCTCTGAGGATCTGGAATTTGCGTTTCTAGGCGTGGATGAGAAGACGGAAGCTCGGGATGATGGCCGTGATGGGCTCGGTGCCGGCGATGAAGCGTTGACGGCCATTTTGGTTCTACACATAAGCTGTGAATCCTGTGATTGTGCTGCAATGGGAAATGGGTTGAAAACATACCCACGGAATTGTAGTTTGAATATAATTTCGGAAAAATCTTTAACAAAAAAAAGTCATATAGAACGATCACCCTCCAATTACACTTACTCTTAATCACCTTCAAACAAACAATATAACTCATTCATCCTATAATGCATTTACATAAGTCAAAAACGGTTGGAGTAGACTTATTATCCCCCAAAGTTAATGTAGGAGTCTTACAAACATAAATCAAAATAATAAAAAAGCAAACAGACTGATCAAAGCAATCAATTACTAAAAAACGGAAATAAAATACTTCGTAGTTCTTCTCCAAAGTAAAGTGTCGTGTCAAAAGACAACCAAGTGGTCTGTCCAGCAACCTCTCGTGATCCGGTGGACCTATTGATTGAAGCTCGTCTTCTCTCCGTTGTTTTTGCTTATCCAGAGCCATATCGGCCCATATCCTCTACCGCTGCACCCTTTTGAGTCTACTCCTCCCTGATTCTTCTGCGTTTATGCTCTCCCAACACTGCCTCCGAACTCATTGAGTTCCCTTCTTTAATCGAGCTATCTCCAGTTCCTATAGTAGCCTCCTTCCAGCACTGCCCTCATGTGCCCTGACTATCACTCCGTTACGGTGCACCCACACCAGTACATGAGAACCCTTCACTTAGCCACTTAAAAATGTAGGGTTAGTCTTCACCACACCACCAGTTCTAAGTCGAACTCCATAAATTTTATCAAAAGTGACATAATCTCCCTCATACACTACTCGACAAAAATTATAAGAATGCTCAATAATATCACAGACAAAACAAAAATGAGGAAGTTTTTCATACTTGAAATCCACCAACTGGTTGATACCCTCTTATTTGAGAGTAGTTCCTTTTTTCAGGGGTCTCCTAATATCCATTCTAACCCTAATTCGCATATAGGCTTCACATTTTCATCAAACTGACTCCCATCAAAGCTAATAAAATTTCCAATAAAGTTACCAATTCTCATAGCAAATCCTAGATTCATGAATCTAACGAATGGCCTCTAAAATTAAGCCACTTTAGATGATAAAAAAAAATTAAGCCACTGTAGATAACCGTATTTTGCTTCGGATGCGAGGGAATATGCCTTTTTATTCGTGAAAATTACCCGTTTGAACCACTTTTAACCCTTACATTTCAATTATGTCACCCGACTTTTTTTCTTTCATCTGTCGATTTTTATCTTTTCAGTTTTGACTTCATTATTTCAGAAAAGTCTCCATCTCCTATTACACTCTGGATCTCTCGTTTCTTCGTCGTTTTATTATTTCCCTTCATCCTCTTCCTTCCCCCGATTCTAGTTGGCTTGGCTTCCTCCGATTCTCTCAGTTTCTCCCTTATAGGCCTTCAATTCCAAACCAGCGTGACACTTCTCGGGGGCTTAATCAGGCTCTAGAGCTGACGACGGAAGGCCTGGGGAGCGAACTACGGCTTCCATGGCTTACTAATTGGGCCGTATTTCACACAAAAGTGACTTTAAATGGAAAATACCAAAAATATGACTTCAGCTTACGGAAGTCTGGATACGGAAGATTAGATTTTACACGTGGTTAAATCAGAGGCGTTCGTTACAACATGTCAATAAAACATCAAAAAATCAGTTAAACGACTCAGAGCTTCATTCACTGCGAACGGAAGAATCCATGGTTGAAGACGCTGAAGAGGATCGTGAATTTGACTGAGACACACGGTGAAGACGCTAGACGCAATCGCGAATTCAACAGAGATTGGAAGACATAGTTACTGACACACGTTTGTTCGCGATCAGAGGTATGTTTAGGTTTTTTCTATGTATCAGTAATGATATGTATGGCGATGAATTTGAAAAGTAAAACAGTGTCAGTGATGACTACTTTGATATAGTAAGTAATTAAAGCAGAAACATACTTCCTCCGTTCTTAAATAAGTGCAACACTTTCCGTTTTCGGCAGTTTCAAAATAAATGCAACGTTTCTATTTTGGGAAAGGAATACTAAACAAAAGGACTTCTATGCCCCTCATTATTTATGGGCTATGGCCTATCTCTTCTGTTTTCAGAAATTTTCTTTAAATTATTTACTCACCACCCAATACCACCTACCCACCGATTACATTCCTCTTTAGGCTGCCCGCAACCCGCCTCCGTCAATAAATCAAATTTACCACCATTTTATACGTATTCACCCGGTCAATTAGTTTTTCTCTGCAACCCAGCACCGTCAATATATTCACCCAGCACAATTTCTTTTTTTAAATAAATTTGTATAACCTTATTTTCATTATCACACATCAACTATATGACAATTTGTTTTTACCAATAATTTTGATTTAAAATTTTAAACATTTCGATAAAAAAAATCATAAGTATTTAAAAATGGTTTTTGTTTAATTAAGTCAGCTCAAAAGCTAGCAACGTCTCAAGCAATGAATGTCATGCGCACTCCAGTGAGTTCAGAGCACAACTTCATTTGGACCGTGCAAAATGTTTCTGACTGCTAGGCCCTGCACGTATGGCAGCTGCTCCATTCCTCCTGTTGTACAACGGCCAGTGGAAAAGGTGGGTCAATGTACCCACCCAAATCCCCTCCAAGGGGTGCTATGCATCCACTTTCCCACCTAACAATACATGGTTTGCAGTACTCCTTTGGAGTGAATAGAATGAATTTGGGTTATTCAACCCTGGGTTGCAAGCAGCCTTACACCATCTTCTGTTCTTCTTCTTCTTCCATTCATGTATGTCTTCATTTATGATTAACTCAGCTATTTCTTTGTTTCTTCCATTCCCCATCATCTCCCTCGTTTTTTTTTCTCTTTTCTTTGATTTGGATTTTAATTACGACCGAAATGAAAGAAATGGAAGAAATATGCGGACATGAAACCAATTTTGTTGATGTTACTCCCCCACGAGTCCACAACCTAAGAGACACTATAAATTTTTCTTGAACCTAACAATAGTTTCCTCTAGGCGGCGGCCGGCTGCTGCGGCGGCCAGATCTTCATGTGGGATGAGTGGATGACGATTGGCGGAAGCAAACGAGGGGGTTTGTTGAGCTGGCTTCACGCCGGGTTGAAAAGGAGCCGCTTATCGGAGTTTAGGTGAGATTCAAGAGAGGTCTTCCAATGAGCAGCTGGCTAGGGGCGAAGGTGAAAGCAGACCAGGGCGCACTGTTTTCTTTAAACTGTTGGTTACTGTAGCACTTTTCTTTTGTGGCTGCCTCTTCCGCTTTTCTTAATTTCAAAGGGTAAAATAGTGATGTTCCAAACCTTTACTCGGTGTCTTAATTTTCGTGCCTGAGTGCATGTTGCACTTATTACCGAACAAAGGAAGTATGATTTTTGTGATACATGTAAAGATAGTGTAGATTGAATTTTAAGACAAAACAGTCAATGTAAAAGGAAGGTTGTGGTTATGAAAGTAAGGAGAGTTAGTATTGTAGTATCTACCATGTAAGTAGGAGAAAGAAATGGAGTGTCAATTAGCTACTAGTTACATTGTGAATATGGCTTTGTCAATCTGAACGTGTACATGCATAGTTCAGTGTGGTAGTCATTGTAGTAGTTCTGTGCTATGATTTATAAGTGAATTTGAGTAATACAATAATTCAAAAGACAGTTTGCATTCTGTGATTCAATTGAGTACAGGTAGTCAGATAGTTACATGTATAGTCAGGTAGTTACATATATAGGTAGTCAAATATCTTGTTTTGTCAGTCAAAATGTGTTGGTAGTAACTGAATTCATGATTACACACAATTACACAGCTTTTACGGTGAGTATGATATGTTTTTCAAATTTTTGTTCTATTTTTTAGTAATGTATTGTTCAACGAAACAGGTATGGAACAGCTTATGGTGACTGTTCTATTTGATAGAAGGTGGAATAAAGAAAAGAGGTTTTTAGCGCACTCTTCTCACTTACCATTTTTCGATAATTTGTATGGTTTACATTCATTTCAAATTTTTCTCACACACAATCACAACTATACATTTTCACTTTTTTTCATTTTCTTTATCTTTGTGCCAAATCAAAGTGAGAAGAATTTTCTGGAATGGGGGATTATAAATTTTTCTTTAAATTTAAAGATATACGAGTACTAGATTAGTTTTTTTAATTAAGTCACTGTAGATAATCGTATTTTGCTTCAGATGCGAGGGAATAACTTATGGTGGATGAGAGACCGTGAGCTCAAATCCTTCAAATATTTGCTAATTGAATTGCTACTCAATTCCAAACCATCAAGAGGCCATTTGACAATATTATTTTTCGGTCCGTTAGTTTTCACCAATTATGTAAGCTTTGCTTTTTTTACCACCAAACACGTAACTTTTATTTTCACGCGCTGAATTGTGTAATAAGCCGAAAAAGTAAGGTTGAAGTTACTTTTCTGGCTGTATTGGCTAAAGTCATTGTATTGTCAATACAACCAATTCAGCTAGAACTTCATAAATTTCAACAGATATGGAAATATGGAATTAAGCAAATGGGTCGATTTTCTGCTACCAAATCAGTTCTAATTCTCCTCGAGGATCAACAAAGTGAACTTATTTCATATTTTAATGCCTTCAATTGTCATAAAAAGTAATGTAATCGTCTTGAATTTAATTAGTTTCACGCCTAACAAAATCGTCACGGGCTCACGATTAGAAAATGAGTTGCTCGATTGGGTGTTGTAGTTCGTAGTGTCATACTGTCATTACTTAAATGGTAGGGCGACTTTTCAATTTCATTTTTTTTTATCAAACCGCTTCCATGGATGTCTTTGATTTTATGTGCTTATCATTGTAATTGTCTAAACAGTTAATAGAAAAACCTGATTTACGAAACACCTAAATAGCGGTATGAAATTAATAAAATGCTAAATGATTGTCAAAACAATTAAAAAGTGATTGATAGGCCGAGTGCAAAACACTAACTTTGGTGAATTGGTGTAGTTTTGATTTTTGGCGAATTGGCACAAAAACCAAATAAAAGACTAAATAATCAAACACCTAAATAGCTGCTTGAAAGGATAAAATGAAAGTCAATTGATAGTCAGAACATCCCAAAAAGTGTCTGATAGACCACTAACCAAATAACACCCATATA